AGATGAGTGCCAGAATTTTCCTTCTGATACCTATGTTATATCCGTGGCAATATAAACCAATACATGGGTCTGAGCTAAATTCCTTGCCAGGGATTTCTTGAAATGTTCTAACATTTCTTGAAATGTTCAGCTCCTAACTATTTTGGAATTTCTGGTTAACTTTGATTTGGGACAGATGAAAGGAATTGAGAAATAGTCTTTTTATTTCTCATTGAGCACAATAATCTGGATATAAAAATTCTGTCTTAACCTCCTTTGTTACCAGGAAATACAATCCTGAATATTTTTATGCAGGAAAATAATTAGAATATTATGTCCGTTTTTATAGTGAATTTATTTCTAAGTGTTACTATAAGAGAGAATCCCAATAGATGGTAAAAGTAAATTACTAGTACAATATTATTCATTGACTAAAGTCCTCTGACAAGAATATGCTCTTCAGGCACTTTGTGCTCTATTAATAGAAAGATGTATCCAATTTATTGGTGATTCTAACACTAAGAGCACATATAGAGATGTCTTTGGGCAATCTTATTTCTAAGATTCTTTCTAGCTATATGGTTTTTTCTTCCATTTCTCATTTCAATTGTGAACTATCTTCTAGCCTTATAAAAATAGTCCTGGCATTTTAAGCAGTTACAAACCACTCAATTATCAGAGAGGAGACAAGTAGTGACAGAATGCTATTTTGTTAGGTAAACACTGGTGCTTCTTACTTGCCTCTCAGAGTGAACCAGACTCCCTCGAGAGTTCTCCATTCTGCCTCCAGAACTGCTGCCAACTCCGAGCAGTTGGCGTGACAGTGCAGGTAGAAATGTGCTGCCCTAGAGAGACTGCGGGTCTGTTCTTTTCGCTTTCCACGACTCCGGTGGTGACTTGAATGTGTACATTGTTAATGCTCTGAGCACAGGCAATGGCAGATTAAAACATGACCAGTGTGACCAACAGAAACAAAAGGTTTATTGATAAGGATCACCTACCCGTTCATGACAGAAGACAAGGAGGCAGTAGATGGGGCTGCAGGGAATAGGGTTATTGGAGCAAAGAAAAGGAAAATGGGAAGGTAATGCTAGCCTTAAAAAAAAGTGCTTGATGGTAAGGAAAGAACCCCTCAGATCCTTTCTGGTCTCATTGCTGTCATAAATCAGAAATCTAATAAGATGAGTCATAAATATAGTGTTCTTACAGTTCAGAGTGTATTCTGCATTTACATGGAAAAGTAAAAGGCAGTGAGGCTGAGAGTTTTAGTAAAATTATATCACTTGAATGAAAAAGTATTCTGTATTCATGTGCTGATAATATGTTGTGCTTATGGAGTTAGTTCCTCTAGTTTTTTGTTTTGTTTTTTTTTTTTTGTGAGGAAGATCAGCCCTGAGCTAACATCCATGCTAATCCTCCTCTTTTTGCTGAGGAAGACCGGCTCTGAGCTAACATCTATTGCCAATCCTCCTCCTTTTTTTTTTTTTCCCCATAGCCCCAGTAGATAGTTGTACATCATAGTTGCACATCCTTCTAGTTGCTGTATGTGGGACGCGGCCTCAGCATGGCCGGAGAAGCGGTGCGTCGGTGCGCGCCCGGGATCTGAACCCGGGCCGCCAGTAGCGGAGCGCGCGCACTTAACCGCTAAGCCACGGGGCCAGCCCAGTTCCTCTAGTTTTAATTGAATATCCAGTGTTCTCTTGGGTTTTCTGCAAAATCAAGCTTTTTACTTTTGTTACCCTTATAATTGGAAATACATTTTAAGCTAAGTTTCCAGTGACAGTATTTGCATGTGTATGTGCTGTGGTCTTTGTAGGCCTGCATCTGTATGGACATTGTGAATTGCCTTGTCGCTGGTGGAGGTATAGTGCTCATCTTCGGTTTACTTGTTAACTTTGCCTATAACCTGAGAGAGGGAGGGAGGGAGGGAAAATTTACTAGGACAATTCATCATATAAAATCCTAGCCTGCTTAATTTTAAGAGCCTACAAATTATTTTCAAATTTCCTAAGCAACACTTCAGACAATGCGTATGCCAGTTATATGTGATTCCTGTTGGTGTGATAGCCAGAATAGCTTTTTGGGCATGTACTGTAGTGGGGCACATTTCCTGAACTCCTTTTTTAGGACAATTGGCAATGTTTCTGAATTTGTTAACATAAAAGCACTTTTTTTTAATGGTCTCTCATTTAGTCTTTTTAGATGCAGATTACTTCTATTAATATTTTGCAAGTGGTGTAGATCATAAATAGTTGTTAAACATATATTTCAGACTGATAAGTAAATTATAACATTGGTAACCATCACAAGATTTGGACAAGAAATTAGTATAAAGATCTGTTGATTTTAGTGTATAATAAATAGTCTAAACTTGCTCTGAAATATTTCAGAGATTTATTTTCAATTTATACGTTCATGTTAATTTCCTGGTTTTGATAATTACGTTATTGTTTGGTAGGACAATGTCCTTGTTCTTAGGAAGTGCACTCTGAAGTGTTTATGGGTAGGGACATTATGTCTGTAACTTCAAATGATCCACAAATGGTACATACATACAAATAAAGAAACATAAACATGAATACAAATATATATATACATATTTTTATATATGGAGAGAGAGGTAGACACACAGATATTCTGAGAGAGAAAGAGAATTATAAAGCAAATATGGTAAAATTTTAAAAATGGGAAATCTCTGTGAAGGGCATATTGGAATTCTTTATCCTTACAGGTTTTCTGTAAGACTGAAATTATTTCAAAATAATTAAAATATATGTTCACATTGTTAGTGAAGTAGAAATTGTTGCAATCTTTTTTTTTTTTTTTTGTGAGGAGGATTAGCTCTGAGCTAACATCCGATGCCAATCCTCCTCATTTTTGCTGAGGAAGATTGGCCCTGGGCTAACATCCATGCCCATCTTCCTCTATATGGGATGCCACCACAGCATGGCTTGATAAGCGGTGCGTTGGTGCGCACCTGGGATCTGAACCTGCGAACCCCGGGCCTCCAAAGCAGAGCTTGCCCACTTAACCACTGTGCCACTGGGCTGGCCCCCATCTTAACCACTTTTAAGTGTTTAATTCAGTGGTATTGCATGTTCATAATGGGCAAACATCACCGCCATCCATCTCCATAGCTCTTTTCATCTTGTAAAATGGAAACTCTGTACCCATTAAACATTAACTTCCACATTCCCCTTCCTCCCAGCTCTTGGCAACCACCATTTACTTTTTGTCTTCATGATTTTGACTACTCTAAGTAGCTCATATAAGTAGAATCATACAGTATTTGTCATTTTATGACTGGCTTATTTCACTTCACATAATGTCCTCAAAATTCATCCATGTTGTAGCATATGTCAGAATTTCCTTCCTTTTTAAGGCTCAGTGATATTCCATGTATGTATATAATACCACATTTTGCCTATCCCTTCATCTCTCAGTGGACACTTGGGATTTTAGCTATGAAAAATGCTGCTGTAGACATGGGTGTATATAATGCCTTTTTGTGAAGTATTTTTCTCATGAACTTTTTTTCTTTTTTTTGGTTGGGGGCGAGATTCACCGTAAGCTAACATCTGTTGCCAGTCTTCCTCCTTTTTTTCTACTCCTCTCCACCGAAGCCCTAGTACATAGTTGTGTATAGTTGTAAGTTCTTCTGGTTCTTTGATGTGAGCCGCCGGCACAGCGTGGCTACTGACAGACGAGTGGTGTGGTTCTACACCCAGGAACTGAACCCAGGTTGCTAAAGCGGAGTGCCCCAAACTTCAACTGCTAGGCTATTAGGGTTGGCTCTCATGAACTTTTTTATTTGTTGAAATGATACTGCATAGGCATACACTAAAATGTTAGTAGTAATTTTCCTAGATAGTGAGGTGGTGGCAATTTTATTTTATTTTAGTTAATTGGTGCTTTTCAGTTTTATTCATGGAATATATAATACTTTTGATTGAATAAAAAAGTTATATTTTTTGGGATAGGGTCCGTGCAGTTAAAAGTATATGGCACAGTTGGAAAACCTCTTGTCCATAGTAATCAAAGTCAAAAATTACAATAATACCTTTTAAAATTAAATAATGGTAATTACTCTCTCAAGGGTATATGGTGCCCTTAATAAGAATGATGCTAATTCTGTTATTATGTAAGTACACCTGGTTTTAGGTCAGTATTCTCAAAATATGTTCCAGAGACTACCTGCATATATCTCACTTGGGATGACTGTAAAAAATAAAATGCTTTGAATAAAAAATCTCTGGGGTTGAAGTCAGTGAATATGCCTTTGTGTAAGGCTCTCCAAGTCCTTCTTATTTAAGTGAAGTTTGAGAAATCATGCTGTAAGTAAATCTGATTTGTCAAGACCTGGAGTTAAAACAACATGAATAATATTTAATAATTTGGTCTCTAAAAGTATCACACAATAATTCTTTGAGTAGAACATACTCATTCTTTTAAAATATGATGCCCTTTATGAAAAATTTAGCTGTGTATTTTTGAAGGGCATCTTTGTTTAAAGTGATGCACATCCATATATTCCATATTTGGCAATATTTGAGGAATCCTGTTCCTTTGTATCCGTCATAAGATGACTTTGTGTTTATGTACAATGGATATAGATTAGTTTTTTATCCAACTTCATGATATACCAGAAACCACATGAGAAAAGCCTGTAAAGCTATCAGCTGGATCTGAAATAAAGATGAACTATCTACTTATGTTTTAGGGGCACTGATGCATTTACATTCGTTCATATTCTGTACGTGTGTCCCGTGTCAAGCCTCTTCCTTCCAGAGAGGAGGAAATGCGTGCTCGTGAAATGAGTGCCTAGATGAACAATGGTTCATGCTAGTTGGCCTTATTTAATTTTGAGTATGTATATATATTTTTTCTCATCAATTAGCAGATTAAAAGGACCTCTCACATCCTGCTTATGGAGCTTAGCAAGCACTTTTAGGAAAGTGTTTCTTCCTCATTTTTAAGTGAAAATATTCTCTGTCTTATGGTCTCTTTCTTTTTAATTTCAGATTTTGTTGATGGACCTATACACCACAAGGCCTTACTTATATCCGTGACTGTCTGTAGTTTGCTCTTGGTCCTTATAATTTTATTCTGTTACTTCAGGTAAGTTTCCAATATGTAGATGTAGGATTTTGAGTTTATAATATCTTCCTCATCCTACTATTCCACCTGTCGATGTTTTCACTACAGCTTTCTTTGACCTAATTAGATCTTAGATTTCACTGATAATATCAGTTAACTATTGATAAACATTTGTCCCAATGAAGCTATTAATAGATACCTATTTCAGTTCTGCTTCAGACATCAAAACTCTCCAGATGCATTTCACCCCTGGGGAAATTAGGGTAGTTAGGGAATTCAGGAACTAGTTGTTATGAGGTTTGATTCTAAGCAGAGAAATGGCCATGTTGAACTTAGACTTGCTCTAGTAATTCCTTATTTCTTGAGCTAACAATTTCCCCTTAGTATTGAAAGATTTTAAAGATAATTTATTGATTAATTATTAAAATAAAATCAGTGACTATATTAAAGTATGCAGTTACAAATTATTTTTTGTCGCCTAAGAACTTATTTTCTAGTTTGTGAAATATCAAACACCTTTAAATTCATAGTATTTGCCTTTTGTAATACTCATTTATGATATTATTTTGCAAATGGGAGTTGATTGAAATAAATCCATTTCTAATTGGAGACATTATAATTATTGACAAAAAGTCTTTAAAGTTTTGATTTATTTCATTTATCTATATTATTGCTTTATACATTACCTTAGATGAATTAGCTGTAAAGTCTTTTGTAAAGCAAAAATTTTCATCTTTATTTGATTAGGGACCTTAAAGAGAAACGTTTCAGGGAATGAATATTGGAGCTATAAAGAAACGTGAAGGAATGTAACCTGCTTGGAAGTAGGGAATTGAAAGGAATAGAGAAGAAAAATTGTACATGATTGAGACTGGGTAAAAACAGCTAATTTACTTTAAAAAACAGGTTAGCAAAATAATTATGATTTGTATTTTGGAAATCATAACTAAGGGTAATAATTACTGAGCATTTAATCTTGTATTTATGTGCTAAAATAAAACCTGCTGTGATTATTGTTTTCTCTGCAGTGTTTTGCCCCCATCATTGCAGTCCGGTGTCTAAAATTATCTTCTTCTATGCATCTTTAGGTATAAAAGACAAGAAACGAGACCTCGGTACAGCATTGGGTTAGAACAGGACGAAACTTACATTCCTCCTGGAGAGTCCCTGAGAGACTTAATTGAGCAGTCTCAGAGCTCAGGAAGTGGATCAGGCCTCCCTCTGCTGGTATGAGAAGAACATATCTTGAATGTAAAGCAAATGTCTTCTAAGAGGAAATGTCTATAATGGCAGGGTTTCGTTTTACTGAAACAGATAGGACAGTGGACAAAGAGAAAGCTCTATGCAGTCAGTTAGACATCAGATCTCAGATGCAAGGCTTCCTGGTAACATTTTGACATATTGGGGGTACGGTGATTGTTTTTTAATGTCAGTGTATGGTTGCAATCCAGACCCACAGACGTGCTGATGAAGAGCAGATTAGAAAACATTCCACATGGGGCCATCTTCCCGCTGTTTTCAGTACGGATAGCATTACTGCACTTTGGCCTGGCTTTTGAAGGCAAAGTATTACAACCAACTGGGATCTGAGTCCTTCTACAAGGGAAGGAGGCTGCATTTCAGCTGGAGGGTTTTATGTTTCAGGGTGAAGTCCTGGCTTTTCCATTCAGGAGAGGTTTAATTTTCTGATGGTCAGTACTGCCAACTGTGGAGAAAATATATACTGAATCCAAGGCACTTGCTTTAATGAGAAAAACATTTAGTCCCTTTGTGGACCATGCAAAAAGATTGTTGGGACTCGGGATGGAAATAACAATTTTAATGAGAAATAGTTTCCTTAATAAACTCGTAAGATAGATTTTCCTAAACTTTATTGTCTAGTTCTGACTGGATATCTTGTTTATTTGATTCTTTTGACTACCTTTTATTTAGTACTGAAAGTAACTTTAACTTTTTTAAGTAATTTAACTTTTTAAAAAAATCTCAAGCCAAGAATTTATTTTATGTCTTTTTTTATTGACATACCAAAAGCTGTATATATTTAATGTATACAACTTGATGAGTTTGGAGATGAGTATACATCCATGAAACCATCACCACAATCTAGGCCATAAACATATCCATCACCTCCAAAAGTTTCCTCCTGCCCTCTTTGTTTATTATTGTTATTATTATTATTAAATAATAAGAATTCTTAAATAAGATCTACTCTCTTAGCAAATTTTTAAGAATACAATACACTGTTTTAACTGTAGGCACTGTGCTGTACAGTAGATCTCTAGGACGTCTTCGTCTTGCATAACTGAAACTGCACTCTGACTAACACCTCCCCGGGAGGTAGTAGACCAGACAGAAAACCACTTGTGAGGGAGTCATGACCAAACTGATGCCACTTAGGATGTAAATTTTTTAAAGTAAAAGTTTTTATTATCAAATTGCTTGATATTTTATTCTTAGAATTTAATTAATATATACAAATATAGTTCTTGTATTTAAAAATGTGTGTTGTTATACTTTTTTAAAAAAAGTACAAATAGTAAAACCCCTTTGATATTAATGAATCAGATACTTATGCTCTTGTTTTCCTTCTTCTAACCCACCTTTCTTATTACTGTGGAGTTATCTCTCTAAAATTTTTTGCCTTACTCTATTATGTCCCTGGATAAAATATTCTAATATCCGATAGTGTTGTGGGTCTTCTTTCTTAGCGTGCTGTGTAAGGCATCCTTCTCCTCCCGCCTCTCCCCCACCTGCTTCCTGAGCTCTAGCATCAGCCTTGAGCAATTCTTGCACAGATACAAGGTGTGTTATTAACGTCCACGTCTTTGCAAATGTAGTATCTTTCTGGAGAGTTCCTCAGACTTGTGGCTCAAGGCTACCTCACATTTTATCTTTATGACAACTTACCCTAGACTGACCCAGTCTATTTATCTTCTGTCATAATGTTTTTTTATGGCACCAGTACAGCAGTTTAAAACAATGCTATAACTGGTGTTAGTGCATCTGCATCTTTGGGTGAACTCTCACCTTCTTAGGGTGGAGACTGCATTGTGTCCACCTTGTATCCTCAGTAGAGGACCTGTGTGATTAAAGGGGCTGCTCAATAATTTGTTTTAAAAAGCTTTCAACTCCAACTTTTAATATCTGTGAAAATACTATTTTATTTCTATAATCTAGATACGAAAAAATAGCATTTGGCTATTAACCATATAATGGTTAAGAGCAGCCAGATTGCCAGGGTTCCTGTCCTGGCCAGACACCAGCCTTCACAACTATGATCTCATTTGCTCCCCGTGGCAGCCCTGTGAGGTAGCACTAGCAGTGCATCCCTGTGTCACACATCAGGTCACAGGCCCAGATGTCAACTGCTAAAACGTGGAGAAGCCAGGATTCAAACCCAGATGATCTGCCTCTAGAATCTGTGCTCTTAATGTTTGTGAGATGTGAACCACGTCAGTTAAATAAAACAAAGAAGTGCATTTGATGGGGGCAGGATGGGAAGGAAGATCCTATAAAACCTAGTTTAGTGAAGAAAAAGTCTCAGTAGTAGAGATTTAAGATCCTGGTTTAAGATTTGGTTTTTAAGATAAACAATGCAGAAGAGTGCAATAATCTCTCCGTATATTATTATGTGAGTATCTCACGTTAATACTGACTTGTTATTTATTTCATTAACATAGGGGAAAATTCATGCCTTATATATAAACATATACTTGGACCTAGTGTTTGCCAAGCGACTTTATATATAAATCCTTTAAGGAAGGAATGTATCATAGGGTGGTTGTAAGAATTAAGATAGTGTGTGTTTCCCTGCTATGTATATATATTTTTTTCTGGTGTATTTAATACATGGTATGTATTTAATAAATAGTAACATATTATTTATTTATTTATACCCTATTTATCTGACCTTGTAAAGGAACAAAAAGTGAAGTAAATTCTCTAACTGAATACTAAGCCTCTTAAGTGACGAATCTTTTGTGAAAAATCTTTCCAGTGTGTGTTATTGACACAACCTTATTAAGCAAAGTATTTTAAACGGTATATTTGTGTGTAGGGGTGTGTATGTGTGTTGCTAATTCAGGGACGTAGTAGAGTACAGAGCATTACTTACAGCTTCATGTTATCTAGTTTCCATACATGTACCTAGACTTAAACACTAGACATTGTCAGATATCTGATCCCTAGATAAGGTGACATTTCAGAGATTGTGATAACTCCTTATACATCTGGTTGTACCTGTTTTACATGAAACAACTCTCTTTTTCGAATCCCAATGTATAGTGATTATATTTTATAGGCATTTTATTTATACAACCAAAGTTTCAAAATAGATATCTAAGAATGTAATATAGAATGAAAGGTTAGGTGCAGAAAGACCAGAAACATTAGCTAAATCAAATAAAAACTCAAATCACATAGTTTAAAAAATTTTCAAGTTATATCTTCAGGTCTTTAGATGTTATAATAAATCTCAAAATACAAGTATATTTTTAATTTCTGAATATAATTTAGTGAGACCTCTTCTCTTTAAGTTGTTCCTGTTCTTTTGAGCATTGCCAATTTTGTCAGTAGTTTCATTAAATTATAAGAAGATATGTTATCATTAGAGAAGAACAGGATACAAAACTGTTTACGTTAGGAAATGTTCCATAGATTTACAGAAGCAATGCTTTCTAACATCTGTGAATTAAATATAATATTTCTTTAATAAATGGAGGAAGTCTGTGATTTAACTGCTTGTGGATTTGGCTCTCAGCTGCTCAGGGCTTGTGCTGCCTCTGTCCCCTCACTTGGGAATAGAAATCTACTGACACTTAGCTCACATAGCATGTTGACTCCTAAAGGGAGGAGGGCTGCTCTACACATATGCTTGGTTCCTTATTTCCTTCAGGCTGAGTGGCTTAATGGCATTTCAGCAATGCTTTTTTTCCCCCCATCTTTCTAGAAAATAAAACAAAAGATTTTATCTTTTCCAAAAAGCTATCAATCTGATATTAGTGCCATTAATGGTTCTGGCAATGGATAGCATTACCTCTTGAATTGATCAAATCATCCGTTATGCAAAAACAGAACCCATCCTAGTTGGTAGACACCTGTGGTAGGCAGATACTGTCCCCCCAAAATGTCCAGGTCCTAATCTCTAGAATCTGTTATTTTGCGTGGCAAAGGGGGAATTAAGATCACTAATCAGCTGACCTTGAGATGAGATTAATCTGGATTATCTGGGTGGACTCATTGTAATTATGTGGTCCTTAAAAGTGCAAAAACAAAAACAAACATTTTAAGTTTACTTGATGCGAGGCATATCTCTGGGAAAAGTACGTTCCAGTTTTCTGATCAGATCTTATAAGAGCTCTGTGCTAGGTTCTTGGTCTCACAAATATGTAAAAATGTCTCACAAATTATGTAAAGAGTCAACAATATTTAGCCCTTTTAGTCATGGAGTTCTTAAAATATTTTATTGTTAAGTGCAGATGGGGTGAAGATCATGTATGAAGAGACATTTAACCTCTGTGCCACTTAACTCACATATTTTTTTCTTTTTGTGTCTACTGCACTTTCTATAATTCTTCAGATCTCTCTCTATAGTTTAACTTTCTCTCCAGCTCTAACCTGCTGGTTTACCTGTCCATTTTACATTTTGATTGTGGCAATTAACTGTTCCACTTCAAAGTAGAATTTTTAATAATTCTTGCTATTTGCTTATTTTTCATTCCATCTTCTATTTCTTTACATGTTTCATGTAGCGTTCCTTGGCATTCCATGTCTGAAAATTCCACTGTCTGTAATCTGAAGATTTAACATCTATTTGGCTTGTTTCTCTTGACTCATTTGTAGTGGCTGTTTCCTTTTGTTGGAAGGAATTTATTCTGTGGGATCTTCCTTTCCTCTTTCCCTTTCTTCTCTCGCTCTTTTTTCTTTCTCTCCCCCTCCGCCCTGGGGGAGTTCCTTTGTGAGCCCAACAATGGATTACAGTTTTTTATTTCTTATATTTTACCCATGATAAAGTTGTATGGTGGCAAGAGTTTCTTAAAAGTATGTAGTATCTCACCATAGTGTAGAAGGAAAAATTTTCTGCAAATGATTTCCTCAGGAGAGGATTTGTATTTATTTTTGCTGGGAGCCATAGGGGGCAAGTTTAGTACCATTCACTGGTCCCAGCTTCATGCTGAGGCCCTAGGTTCAGTTTCTCTAATTTTAAAGGGGCTAAAGTTTATATTCTGTGTCCCAATGTTGGTGTTATTCTTTGCCCAGACAGCAAAGCAACCTGGCCTTTGTATATATGCTTAATGCTTGTCTTTCCTGCTCTGGTCTCAACTCTTAGCTCCCTCTTGTCCTCCCTCCCTGCCTTCCCACCCTCCATCCCTCCCTGCTTGGAGATTTCCCTTATTTCTCTGTGTGCCTAACAATGCAGTACAATTTTGTTTTCTTGTGTTTTATCCAAGTGTATAAGTCCTTATCCAAGGCATGAGTCCCTTCAGAGTATCTAGTATCCCACTGTAGTGGTGGAAGTGAAAGTATTCTATTCTGCCAATTACTGTGAACCCATTCAGGTTTTTTTTCTCTCTATGAAAATGATAATAGGTAGGATTAAATATTTAATAATTTGGAAACAATATTTCAAACATTCAGAATCCACAATCCATCTCAAATACATTTAAAAGAGGGCAGCATAAATTAATAAATACAAATAACTTGTCTATATAAAGAAAAACTGACTAAATGTATTTCACATGCAGTAATTGTTTCTTTTCTGGAAAAAAAAAGATTAAACAAATCTGGAGAGCTGTGAATACACTAACAGAGTGTTTTGGGATTTAACAGGTCCAAAGGACTATAGCTAAGCAGATTCAGATGGTGAAACAGATTGGAAAAGGCCGCTATGGGGAAGTTTGGATGGGGAAGTGGCGTGGTGAAAAGGTAGCTGTGAAAGTATTCTTCACCACCGAGGAAGCCAGCTGGTTCCGAGAGACAGAAATATATCAGACAGTGTTGATGAGGCATGAAAACATTTTGGGTGAGTAAAAGTCCATACAGCAATGTTCAGGGTTTCCTAGCTTTCCTCTGTTTTTCTGTTAACATCTGCATATTAACTCAACTGTCTAGACCCGACATGAACTATGTAGACGTTTTCTTCTTGGCATGAGCCCAAGAACGTCATAATCGTCTAATGGGAGACCTCACAGGAGGAGTGACTAAGACACTTCTACCACTGAATGGTGGGCTGGAAACAGAATGTACTCAAGTATTTTTTTCTTCAGGGACGGGAAATGCAAATATAGTACCAGAATTTATTAGGGTTTCTTAGGGATTTGAAGGAGCACAGTTTTGTTTAAATGTTTTGAAAACTTATAGGAATTTTATCTGCTGGATTTATATCCAGAATTGATTTCCCTTTTATTTTCTCAAGTTAGAAATGATCTAGCTGGAGCATTCCAGGGGAAAGAGGATGAGCTAATCACGGAGCGTCTGCCTGGACTCAAGACCCTGTTTTGTAAACAGTGTTGTATGTGTTACTATAATATCATGAGCTGTTTACTGTTAACTTAAAAATAGTTTAAATATCAACTACTGATTAGAAAGGGATCCCGTTTTCAGATACACACTGTTAATGTTTCTCTACCCCTACTGTTTTGATTGCCTCTGATTGGTATTAGTAATTTAATACTGTCATAGGTATAATCAGAAAACTGAGTGAAATGCTAAGTAAAAGACATCTATGGCAAAGAATGATAGTTGAGAATATAAATTATTCCTGATAATATTCAGAAAACACTTTGCTCCAAACCTTTTTGTTTTTTTCCCTTTTAGGGTTCATTGCTGCAGATATCAAAGGGACAGGGTCCTGGACCCAGCTGTACCTGATCACAGACTATCACGAAAATGGTTCCCTCTATGATTATCTGAAGTCCACTACGCTGGACACTAAGTCCATGCTGAAGTTAGCCTATTCTTCTGTCAGTGGCTTATGTCATTTGCACACCGAAATCTTTAGTACTCAAGGCAAACCAGCAATTGCCCATCGAGATCTGAAAAGTAAGAACATCCTGGTGAAGAAAAATGGAACTTGCTGTATAGCTGACCTGGGTCTGGCTGTTAAATTTATTAGGTTAGTATCATGGTGAACACATACACTTTTATGTATCTTTTCTATCACTTTTTATAGATTATACATTTTGTAGTTCAGTGCTTCTAGGATATTTAGTACAGGAGGAATTTTATTAGTTTTGACTTTTCTTTGGAGGGAAAAAGAAGAAACATATTGTTTGCAACACAAAGTGTTTGGGTCAGTCCTGTTGTTTCTGATTTCATCAGTGACCTGGCTTCGAGACAGTGTTCACATTAAGTTCCCAGCTGTCATGAAGCTATTCAGGAAAGAGGTAGCTAATGTCTGGGATTGTGTGGTCAGAACTCTGTATAACATTTGTAAGTAGGAAAAGGTTTCAGGAAAGATCTACAGATTATGAGGTGATAAAGACAATGGTTTTTTAAATATGATATAAGAAAGATAACTGGCGTAGGTGTTCTGTGAGAAGTGTTAGGAACTAATAAGCAAAACACAGTATTCAGCACTATTGTGCTGTCACTTAAATAGTGACTATAACACTGGACACATAAACCAGCACACGTTAGGAACAGTGGTTTTCAGACCCCTGGGGGCTCCTTGGAGTGACGTCAGTAGCTTCTGCAGAATAGGGAGAAGGGACGCCCAGTAGCTGGGGCTCTATTCTGCTTATCCTCCCTCTAATCCAAGCAGCTCTTTATATCTTGCAGATGATTTAATTAGAAGAAATGGTTTCTCTGCTTTGAAAACAAAACAAACAAAATGAGTTTGCAAACCACTGGTACAGAGGGATCATCTTATAGCTATCCTTTTAAAAACTCAGTTTAGGCTTAGCCTTTGCTAAATTGTTGGGCCCTCATGTGGATTTTTTTACAACGAGGACTCTGTAGAATATGGAGGAGGGAACAAAGGAAAAGCCATCGAGATGGATAAAACTCCCGAGAAAGGACTGTTGGATTGGTATTTTTACCCAGAAGTGAAGACTGAGGTGTGATTTAATAGGCGCCAGACATAAGAAGGTCTTCAACATTTAGAGGATGGCAAATTGAAGTTCTCAATCTTTAAAAACAAAGCAGGAGGAAATGATTTGTACTATCGATTTAAGTTAGAAATATGAACCTCCTGCCAATAAAGATTAGTGAATACTCTCTCTCTTCTGGATTCTTTTTTCTGACCTGCAACCTTTTCAAGTGTCCTCTACCAAAAAAAATTTTCCGCGGTGCTTCTCTAATTACCAGCCTCTCTCCATTTCTCCCGTTAAATTTCTCCAGTTCCAAAGAGTAACTGCTTTCCCGATCCAGTAACTCGTAATGTCTTATAATTTGGCTTCTGCTTCATCCTCCCTGAAGCTCCTTTGTTGAGGGACACCACTGATCTTTGTCACCGGAAGCCTTTCTTATCGTCACCCCACTCTTCACAGTGCCAAGCCCGCCTTCCTCGTGTTATTCCAGGGGCACCTCCTTTCTCTCTGTGGGTTCTGCCCTCTGTCTACCTCTTAACTGTTTTCTCCCTGCTAGATTTCCTGCTGTATCTGCTTTTTCTTCCTAGTTCCCAGTTTGGGTTGATCCATGCTAAAATGTGAAATGCCTGACATTTCCTTCATTCCCTAAGGAATGAAGGAATTCATTCAATTTGCTCAATTGAACGAATTCTGTCTCTGTGGTATTCCCACTTGAACTGGGCACGTTTGGGTCCTCTCTACCATTTTTCTAGATTCTGGAGTAACGCATTTTATAGTTACTTCCTCTTTGTCTATCCTATTTCCATTTTTTGTCTACATGCTGCTGCCAGATGTATTTTCTTGAAGCATGATTTTGGACGTCATAATAACTTCATAGTTTCCTGGGGCTTTGGGTTAAAATGTAGTTTCTATTTTGAACACTTTATACTTTCTCACACCTTCAGGTGTTTTTAACGTGTTTTTATCTTTACCTGAATACCCAGCATCCCCTTCTCTATTTAGATAACTGTCACTTATCTTCCTTTGGGTCGTCTGTTTTTATTCCCTTCCAAGTCTGACTTTTAGTTAGTCGTCTTATATCCTCCCCTGTGACCCTGTGCATACCATCGTGACATTTCTCACACTGTTGGACAATCATCATTGACCGCTTCTCCATCGTTCCCAATGGAGACTAAGCTCCATGAAGGTAGATACCATGTTTTTCTCAAAATTGCATCCCTAGTGCCTTTCCTTGGTGCCCATTACTTAGGTGTTGCTTCAAAATTTTGTATAATGGATAAATGAATGATTCCATATGGACTACAGGATGAAGAAGAAAAGCACCTTTTTTTAGCTCCAGAGATCCTACACACATGGTATTAAATCCATCTTTCTAGTTTTATATCCCATAGACTCTCCAATGTGTGTGCTTTCTTTTGTAAGACTGAACCCCTTGGTTTTTCTCCATATGTACTCATGTTTGCTCCTGCCTTGCTTTTGATTCACAGTCTCCAGCTTGGAGTACACTTGCTTCTCCAAGTACCTTAATTCAATATCAGAGTTGCCTTTAATTCACTTTACTCATCCCCCAGCAAGGAATAATGACATCATCTTCTCTACTCCTGTAGTGATTTCCTGCCCCTTGTCTGCCTGATATTGTAATTACTTTAGTACATGCCTCATCTTTCCTGCTAGTCATTGGGCATCTTGAGAGCAGCATCCATGCCAAATTCTAGGTATTCCAACACTGTTTTGAATCAATAAATGTTGGTGGTATCAAAGTAATTGAGAACTCATTTTCTTTATAGACCTTAAATCAAACAAGGAAAGTGCACATCTATTATATATCTGGAATTTAGTTCTGTTTAATGTCAGGGGAATGAATTGAATGACCTCTCAAATTTCATGCAAACCTTGATTCTAGGAAGTGGAGGGGAATACTTTAAAGGCTAATTCAGAGGTTTATTTGGCATATATTGACTAGTGCATCAAGAGAGGGAAGATATGAGGATGCTGGCTAAGATGTGCAACTATGCTGGCTGCTGGTTGCACGTCTTTATATGGTAAAGAGGAGCTGTGGGACCGTTTACCATTCAGGGCCTCAGTTTCCTCTTCCATTAAATGGAGGTTGCATTTGATAATTTCCTAGGTCCTTTTCACAATTTGTTTTTCTTGGTTTCAAAGGAACTTTGCCATTCTCAATTTTTGAGTCTCACTTTTAAACCTTGCTTTATGTGTTTCTTTGGTTTCCACTCTTTTCCTGTTTTGGGAGTGTGTGTGGGTGCGTGTGGGCACACACAGATATTTTGAGCATGTTATTACAAGTGGGGTCAAAGCTAACCCAGTGTTGAGTTCTCAGACTTCATATGTGAACTTCCTGTGAGAACTTAATCTTTGCCTTGGTCTCTACATGGTAAGTGTTCTCTCAGGCTTTTAAGTCATTTCTGGGAGGTTCCCAGAAGTTGAGAGCCACAGAGAGAGCGGACTGTGCTTTAGAGATTTCCTGCTCATATAATTTTTTTTTATCGTTTATTGGTTTCTTTATGCACTCTCTTGAAAATGATGTAAGTGCTGATACAATTCCTGCCTGACAGAGATTTAATCCAGGTGATGCCGTGGCAGACATTACTGTTACCCCAAACCTCTCTTGGAAGGAGAAAACAATGACACGTGAAGTCCCTTGAAGGAACTTACAAAGCTTTTCACTTTTCAATCTGGATGGTCAAGCAACCCCTCTGGTACTTCAGTGTCAGAATAATATATTTTTTAGGGGGAAACTAAATCCTGGCTTAGGGCTTCTCAGGTATTAAATTTTAAACAGAAAACCTACAGTTAAGACTGGGCTGTAACACGGATCTCCCAATTGATGACTGTCAGATTGTCCAAGTGAGGGCAGATGGAGTGGCCCAGCCCAGAGGGTGCCGCACGTCCTTGGAGTCTTTCTAATGTCGTTGTTTCTAGCACTGCTTCTGATTTGTATACTTAGTGGTTATTTAAAAAAAGTGACATGGCCAAATGACCTGCTAAAGTCATAGACCAACCTAATTAGTGGCAGAGTCGGCCTTGCCAGGCAAGGTTTCTGTGGCCATACCCAACTTCTCTTGAATTTTTAGTTCTACCATCCTGTTCCTAAGAAACCCTGAGATTTCTCAGGATTTAATCATAGAAGCAATAAATCCCATTGGGAAGTGCTGCAGAAGACTCTCCTCCTTGATTAACGTCTGACTGGGCAGAGGTCCGTGCAGCAGATCAGTCCCACGGCTATTTACAAGACACCCTGAGAAACACAAAGGGATGTGCACCCCTTCTCCTGAAGGCTCATGGGGATCTTTCATGCTTTCAGAGGTCATTGTAGCCTTTCCAAGAGGTGATTCAGTAGTCTGCGGTATGTGTCACGTGTGGTTAATTTCAAACATCAGTTGTCAGCCACAAGCAAACCAATGGCCTCCCTAACATGTCTTCTGCCCTCCTCCCTTCTTTCACTGTTCTTTAAAGTTCAGTTCTTATTTTTAAAAAAGCTTTTTAGATTATTAAAGGTGTACAGTGTTTGCTTCTCCTCTTTCTCGATTACCTTTTTATCCCCTTCTCCCTCTCTCCCCCTTTCCTCTCTCTGTTTTAGGCATCAGCAACATCCAGCAGAAGACCACCCTCACATGCCCAAGGCTCAGTGAGGTGGAGCCGCCTTGTTGGAGCTAACACCTCGATTCCCGAGCCAGCCTTTCATGGCCACAGTGGGCTCTGCATGTGACTTTCATGACGCTGTCCCTTCAGTTGATGGTACAGTGGGAATGTGCGCTGTGCTGAACCAAGCAGTGGCGTTTTCCTTTACATAACACTTCTGGAAAGAATTCCTGCTATGGATTTATAATTAGGAAGCTTAATTAATATGAAAAATATGTAACAAAACAAAGTCAAGACAGATACTGTATTTTTAAAGATCCCCTTTATTCCCTGCCAGCAAAAGGAAAATCTTTTGCCTGTCCTTCATCCGGTGCATAGTGCCAAGAGTGTAAGGCCTGCCCTGTTCCACCGAGTCCTGTGGGGAGCTCGGGTTCCGTCTCCAGTCCACTTAGGATCCTAGCTGGAGGCTCTGCTTTCAGCCTCT